GGCTATGTAGGGCTATGTATGGCTATGTAGGGCTGTGTATGGCTATGTAGGGCTATGTATGGCTATGTAGGGCTATGTAGGGCTGTGTAGGGCTATGTATGGTTATGTAGGGCTATGTATGGCTATGTATGGCTATGTATGGCTATGTAGGGCTCTGTATGGTTATATAGGGCTATGTATGGCTGTGTAAAGCTGTGTATGGCTATGTAGGGCTATGTATGGCTATGTAGGGCTATGTATGGTTATCTATGGCTGTGTATGGCTATGTATGGCTGTGTATGGCTATGTATGGCTGTGTATGGCTGTGTAGGGCTATGTATGGCTATGTATGGCTATGTATGGCTATGTATGGCTATGTAGGGCTGTGTATGGCTATGTAGGGCTATGTAGGGCTGTGTAGGGCTATGTATGGTTATGTAGGGCTATGTATGGCTATGTATGGCTATGTATGGCTATGTAGGGCTGTGTATGGTTATGTAGGGCTATGTATGGCTGTGTAGGGCTGTGTATGGCTATGTAGGGCTATGTAGGGCTATTTTGGGGTATGTATGGCTATGTAGGTGTGTGTATGGCTATGTAGGGCTATGTAGGGCTGTGTATGGTTATGTAGGGCTATGTAGGGCTGTGTAGGGCTATGTATGGTTATGTAGGGCTATGTATGGCTATGTAGGGCTATGGTATGGCTATGTAGGGCTATATGGTTGTGTAGGCTATGTATGGCTATGTATGGCTGTGTAGGGCTGTGTAGGGCTATGTATGGCTATGTATGGCTATGTAGGGCTATGTATGGCTGTGTAGGGCTATGGCTATGTAGGGCTATGTATGGCTATGTAGAGCTATGTAGGCTATGTGTATGGGCTATGTAGGTCTGGCTATGTAGGGCTATGTAGGGCTATGTAGGGCTGTGTATAGCTGTGTAGGGCTGTGTAGGGCTATGTATGGCTAAGCTATGTAGGGCTGTGTATGGTTATGTAGGGCTATGTAGGGCTATGTATGGCTGTGTATGGGAGTATGGCTGTGTATGGCTATGTATAGCTATGTATGGCTGTGTAGGGCTATGGCTATGTATGGCTATGTATGGCTGTGTAGGGCTGTGTATGGCTATGTATGGCTATGTATGGTTATGTAGGCTATGTATGGCTGTATGTGGCTATGTATGGCTATGTATGGCTATGTACGGCTATGTATGGCTATGTATGGCTATGTATGGCTATGTAGGGCTATGTATGGCTATGTAGGGCTGTGTATGGCTATGTAGGGCTATGTATGGCTATGTATGGCTGTGTAGGGCTATGTATGGCTATGTAGGGCTATGTATGGCTATGTAGGGCTGTGTATGGCTATGTAGGGCTATGTATGGCTATGTAGGGCTATGTATGGCTATGTAGGGCTATGTAGGCTATGTAGGGCTATGTATGGCTATGTAGGCTGTGTATGGCTATGTAGGGCTATGTATATGCTGTAGCTATGTAGGGCTGTGTATGGCTATGTAGGGCTATGTATGGCTATGTAGGGCTGTGGCTATGTGCGCTATGTATGGCTATGTATGGCTATGTATGGCTATGTATGGTTATGTAGGGCTATGTATAGCTATGGCTATGTGTATGGTTATGTAGGGCTATGTATGGCTATGTAGGGCTGTGTATAGCTATGTATGGCTATGTGTAGGGCTATGTATGGCTATGTATGGCTATGTAGGGCTGTGTATGGTTATGTAGCTATGTATGGCTATGTATGGCTATGTATAGCTATGTATGGGGCTGTGTATAGCTATGTAGGGCTATGTAGGGCTATGTAGGGCTATGTATGGCTATGTAGGGCTATGTATGGAGCTGTGTATGGCTATGTATGGCTATGTAGGGCTGTGTATGGCTATGTATGGCTATGTATGGCTGTGGGGCTATATATGGCTATGTAAGCTGTATGGCTATGTATGGGCTATGTAGGGCTGTATGGTTATGTAGGGCTATGTATGGCTATGTAGGGCTGTGTATGGCTATGTAGGGGCTGTGTGGCTATGGCTATGTAGGGCTATGTAGGGCTGTGTATGGTTATGTAGGGCTATGTAGGGCTATGTAGGGCTAGGGCTATGTAGGCTATGTATGGCTATGTAGGGCTATGTATATGTATGGCTGTGTAGGGCTGTGTATGGCTATGTATGGCTATGTAGGGCTATGTAGGGCTATGTATGGCTATGTAGGGCTGTGTATGGCTATGTAGGGCTATGTATGGCTGTGTAGGGCTGTGTATGGCTATGTATGGCTGTGTATGGCTATGTAGGGCTATGTATGGCTGTGTAGGGCTGTGTATGGCTATGTAGGGCTATGTATGGCTATGTAGGGCTATGTAGGGCTATGTATGGCTATGTATGGCTATGTATGGCTATGTAGGGCTATGTATGGCTGTGTAGGGCTATGTATGGCTAAGTAGGGCTATGTATGGCTATGTAGGGCTGTGTATGGTTATGTAGGGCTATGTAGGGCTGTGTATGGCTATGTAGGGCTATGTAGGGCTATGTAGGGCTGTGTATGGTTATGTAGGGCTATGTATGGCTGTGTAGGGCTGTGTATCGCTATGTATGGCTGTGTATGGCTATGTAGGGCTATATATGGCTGTGTATGGCTGTGTATGGCTATGTAGGGCTATGTATGGCTATGTAGGGCTATGTATGGCTATGTAGGGCTATGTATGGCTATGTATGGCTATGTAGGGCTGTGTATGGTTATGTAGGGCTATGTATGGCTGTGTAGGGCTGTGTATGGCTATGTAGGGCTATGTAGGGCTATGTAGGGCTATGTAGGGCTATGTAGGGCTATGTAGGGCTATGTATGGTTATGTATGGCTATGTATGGCTGTGTAGGGCTATGTAGGGCTGTGTATGGCTATGTATGGCTATGTATGGCTATGTATGGCTGTGTAGGGCTATGTATGGCTATGTATGGCTATGTAGGGCTATGTATGGCTATGTAGGTCTGTGTATGGCTATGTAGGGCTATGTAGGGCTGTGTATGGTTATGTAGGGCTATGTAGGGCTGTGTAGGGCTATGTATGGTTATGTAGGGCTATGTATGGCTATGTAGGGCTATGTATGGCTATGTATGGCTATGTAGGGCTGTGTATGGTTATGTAGGGCTATGTATGGCTGTGTAGGGCTGTGTATGGCTATGTAGGGCTATGTATGGCTATGTAGGGCTATGTATGGTTATGTAGGGCTATGTAGGGCTATGTAGGGCTATGTAGGGCTATGTAGGTCTGTGTATGGCTATGTAGGGCTATGTAGGGCTGTGTATGGCTATGTAGGGCTATGTAGGGCTGTGTAGGGCTATGTATGGTTATGTAGGGCTATGTATGGCTATGTATGGCTATGTATGGCTATGTAGGGCTATGTATGGCTGTGTATGGCTATGTAGGGCTATGTATGGCTGTGTAGGGCTGTGTAGGGCTATGTAGGGCTATGTAGGGCTATGTAGGATTATGTAGACTGCTTCTAGTAACTAACGGGGAACCACTATATGATGCTTACACCACGTACCTACCGGTGGCCATACCATTTACCGCTGAAACGCGCGGGTGCTTGAAATGCAAAATTTTGCCCCAGCTTACATGAAGGGGTGGACGCACACAGTACGGACGATTTTGTCTGGACTAAAATTTCTTGGATACATGGATAACCAAATAGGCTCCTTCAGCTACAAGAAGTCCTTACACGCGATATCGATATTCTCTGTTTGACACTGTGGGGTTCCTGGAAAAATGTTTACAGTCGATTTTAAATATTTATGTTAACGAATAAAAGTTTGGCTTTTTATGGCAACGGTTATCCACACTTTGATAACCTCTGGGAGATCAGCAAATTAGGTTTACTTAGGGATCAAAACTACATTGGACTGAACAGAAATGCAGGAAGCTGGCCTCTGTACGCATTAGTCCCATTCGTCGACGCCTCTGAGTTGCTAAATGAAAATCGGATGTCTTGAAACTCGACATCTGGTTTACCACTTTCTCCATTGCAAGATCTCGGGCCTTTCATACGAGAAAAAATCTCACACGTTCTGTCTGTCTCAAGAGAGACTGGGAGATCAGACTTAACATCAAAGCCATACTAAGTAAATATGTCATCTGTTTCTGAAAAGTATGATCTTGATTGTCGTACAAGAGAAGTTTTTGCATCTTATCTCATGAAACTGAGTGTACTGCCTCCGTCATTGCCAAAAAGCTGTACTCCATGCAACATGACAGGTGAGTTGGCAGTTATTTCAAGAGCACAACGAAAAGAGCTAATGTTGTTCCAGGGATCATCGGAGGTTCTAGAGAATTCTATTACTGCAAATCTGGAACATCGATGCAAACTTCTATGGGAATGCATGAATGCTAAAGGAGATTCTAAAGCAGCGCCATTATCATCATTGAAGTAGTCTACTTCAGTTAATCATGTCACAAATCTCTGTTTTACTGAGAATGGCACAATCCAAAACAACTAAAGCAAATTCCTTCTGCAATATCAATGAAAACCGTATTGCTTTCACATTATCTCCTCCAAGAATCTTTCTTTTGACCTCGCCATCAGGAGTTAGCCGTTGCGGCCTTTTAAGTTCTTTAGTGGCCCAGCGATCCACAGCTTTGAACAAATCCACTTCCTACATACTTCTTCACGACAGACTCAACAACTGATCGCTCAATCGTGAGAAATTCATCGGATATTAGAGCCTGCTCAGTGTGCGACTCAATTATTCCCTAGCACCGTTTTTCCAAATCTTCATCCTCAAATGTCTGGGCTTGCAGCAGAATGGAGAACACGTTCAACGCTTCTAAATGTTCCATGAGATACAGTGCACTTGTCAATCAGAGGGGGGACCACGTATTTCTTTGCCACGTAGAGAACTTGCATGACATTACTTCCGCTTAGCTTCACATCATCGCTGTACAAGTAACGAAACAACTCTAACAGACTCTCATAATCAGAGTAAGGCAGTTGAACAGTGCCTGCAGTCTCCGCCATTTCACCACAGAACAATGCACAAAACACAGGAGTGCTGATGGCAAGAAAAACCTTGTGGGGTGAAATGTTCTTCTGACTCTTCCGGATAAATTTGGTTCTCTCGTTGGGCGTTCTGCCAGTTATCATCAAATGTAGCCATTCTGATTACCAAGTAGCTTTAAGTTTAAACGTCAACACAACTCACGAACTTCCTTTCCTCTCAAGCAACAAATTTGATAATGCTTCTGAGTCTGCGCGAGATTGCACGAAACACAGGGTACCCACACTTTTTTAGTTTCGAGGTTTTAATTTAAAGGAAAATGTAGACAAGCCTTCAAAATTTTGTTTAACATATTCCTTTGCTAATAGAGGCTTCAAAATCTATAATAAATTTCAATTTTAAATAGTATTTTCTACGGCTGAATGACTGAAGGAAACTGAACGCCGCCCATGAGTGCCGGTCTGCTGATCGGAGCATGAGACTGCGTGAAGTTAAAACCCCGGGCGGGCAGTACAGAACAGAAAAGTTGCTCGAACTTCGCTAATACCCATCTGATTGTGTCTGGGATTGTAAAAAAAAAAAAAAAAAAAATGGCTTAAGACAAAACGAAGAAACCTTAAAGTATACTGATTTAACGAATGCACAAATTGATATCGCCATTCACCGGAAAATCTTTTTATTGCCGCCACAAAATTCACCTTTTTAAGAGAGCATTATTAAGATTGACGGTGAGCGATATACATTTACACATTCTTTCCTTAGGAGGGAGAGTAGTTTAAAGTTTTTTTTTTCTTTTTCTTTTTTTTCGTTTGTCTGTTATCTTTACTATACTTGCAGTTTTTGTTATACACTTATGCAAGGAGCCTGCAATTCTAGTTGATGTGTTATTCTTGCTACATTTGGGATTTTTTTCTTTTCTATAAGCTGTTCCGCTTTATTAATACACTTTTTTTGCAAAACTTGCTACCGAGGATTGCGAGTACTCAGTCAGTTAACTTCAATTGCAATGCAATAGCCTAAATCGTAATGATACTATTTAAAGTATAGAGTCCACGCCTGACATGAAAAAAAAAAAAGTTTTCAAAAGGTGGGGCCTTTTCAAAAGCTTTCCAAGATGACTAGAGGTAAAACCTAAAATAGGCTGCATCAGCCACGGGACAAGTCACGTGAAATCCTTACAAGCGATATTGATATTCTCTGTTTGACTGTTGACACTGAGTGAAACAGAAAATTGCGGTTAATTTCTCGACAGATTTAAGGTCAAGACGTCCTCTCTTTGCGTTTAACGAGTAAAATGTTTGGTTCTTTCACGGCTAACGGTTAACCATATTTTGAGACTTCCTAGGAGATCAGCAAATTATGTTTCTTAAGAACTAAAACTACGTTGTACTGAAAAGAAAGGCAGGAAACTGGCCTTGAGATACATCAGTCCCATCGCTGGAAGCCGCTGAATTGCGAAATGAAAATAGGATTTCTTGAGACAGAACAGTGTCTCGGCCTAATTTTCCAAAGCAAGATATCGGACCATTTACACGAGATACAATCTCATATGTTCTGTCTGTCTCAAGGCAAACTGGGTTATCGAACTCAACATCAAAGCCATAATACATGTAAGAATATGTGTCCTCTTTTTCTGAAAAGTAGGATCCTAGTTGTTGTACAAGAGAAAAGCCAGTATCTGCATCTTTCACTTGTAATGAAGCAGTGTACTCGGCACCCTCACGGCCAAAATGCTGTACTCCATGTAACCTGACAGGTTTGTTCACAGTTAATTTAAGAGCACTAGGGAGAGTGTCAATGTTGCTCCAGGGACCCATTGGAGTTTGAGGGATTTCTATGTGTGCAAATCTGTAACATCGACGCAAACTTCTGGGGAAACGCATGAATACTAAAGGAGATTTTAGGTCGACGTCATTGTAGTACTTAATCATGTCACAAATCTCTGTTTTAGTGAGGATGCCACAATCCAAAACAACTGAAGCAAACTCCTTCTCTGGTATCAATGAAAAACGTATTGCTTTTACAATCTCCTCTCCAAGAATCCTTCTTTTGATTTTCCTACTAGGAGTCTTCCCTTGCCTTTCTAGTTCTTTAGTGGCCCAGCGATCCACAGCTCTGAACAAATCCACTTCTTTTACTTCCAATGCATTCCTTTTCACGACAGACTCGACGATTGATCGCTCAAGCGTGAGAAATTCATCAGATATTAGAGCTTGCTCAGTGTGCGATTCAATTACTTCCCAGCAACGACTTTCTAAATCTTTATCCTCAAATTTCTGAGCTTGCGGCAGAATGGAGAACACATTCGACGCTCCTAAATGTTTCCGGAGATATTCAGTGCATTTATCAGCCAGTGAGGGTACCATGTATTTCTTTGCCAAATATATAACCGGCATCACATTACTTTCGCTTAGCTTCACATCATCGCTGTATAAGTATCGAAACAACTCCAACAGACTCTCATAATCACAGTCAGGCAGTTGAACAGTGCCTGCAGACTCCGCCATTTCACCATAAAACATGGCATAAAACACAGGACTGCTGATTGCAAGAACAAACTTGTGGGCTGGAATGCTCTTTTGACTCATCCGGCTTTCACTTTCGTTCAGCGACGCAGGAACTACAAACTTCACATCACTTAACAATTCGTTATTAAAAATAAATTTGGTTCTCTCGCTGATAGTTTGGCGTTTCGTCTGCCAGTTATGATCAAAGGTTGCCATTCTGCTGGTTACCACGTAGCTTTTTAGTTAACGTCCACACAACTCACGAACTTTCTTTCCTCCCTGGCAACCAACAAATTCGATAAGGCTTCTGAGTCAGCGCGGGATTGCCCGAACCACAGGTCACCCATACTTTGTTGGAGTTTCGAGCAAAAGCAAAATGAAATAGACTACGAGCAGTCTCTTTTTTCTGTAGTCCGTCGAGCAAAACGCGAGACACGCAAATGGCCACGCGCGTGACTGATGGCCCGAGATGGGAGAGGCTTCAACATGTTGTTTAAGATATCCCTTTGTTAACGGCGGCTTCAAACTCCAATATAATTTTGAACTTCGACAAGCATTTTCCAGAACTGAATGACTGGAGGTAAATGAGCGCCGCGGTCTTCGGATCGGAGCGGGAGACCGTTCAAACCCTAGGCGGCTCCGTCCAAGGGCTTGGATCATGAAAACTGGTGAGATCATGCTCCGCTCAGGAGGATTTTATACGCAACTTCGCCACCCGCGAGAAAAGAACCTTTGGTACCTACAGCAAGTTTTCCCTTGCTTTTCGTTTAATATTTTTTTTCTTATCATGTTTGCAAAGAACATACTGAGTGTTTTCATGTCATAAAGTTCATTCATGAGATTATTTTAGTCACGCGTTTCCTAAAATGAGAATTTTAAAATTGAATTCGATGCTGCCTTGCGAACGCTTTTCATGTATATAGGACTTTCTTCCGAGAATACAACCTTTACTATGAACCCGTTTGAAAGTTTCACTTACCGTGCTCTGATCACACTGACTGAGGGCATCTCTGACAAAGTTTTCCACGACAGAGTCTACTTCTGACATATTCACGGAATCAGTAGCACCTGGACAAATATAGTAAAAATACAGTGAAACATCAAAATATAGGTATTTCAAATGCAGAATTGGACTGTTCTCCATTTGGTTTGATTAGCCCAAATGTAGACAGCCTTTCATCTTGAAATCGGAAAGGATCAAATCCCTGTTTAATCATGATTTTTTATCAATGTTCTTTCTTAACCCATTAGTTTGACCATTAGGGAGATCAACTGTTTCTTCCGCAAATCGTAACTATAATTCATTTCATGTACAGCATACAGTAATTTCGTTGCTCACGTATTACGGGCCAAAAAGATGACCCTTCTTGCCAAAAACACCACATGGATAGGGTACTTTTATATTATAAAAAGAGGTATAAGAGACCCTGTTAAAAGGACGTACAGTCAAAGTTCTCGTAAGCGACCACCTGGGAAATTGGAAAAAGTGGCCTTAACTATTAAAAGTCGGTCGCTTATGAGAATGAGCGACCACATGGTAGAACAATAGAGGGTGGCCGCGCTTACACGAAGAAACTCTTTAAAAATTCCGTGAGTGGTCGTTGTCACACAGGCTAAGTGGACGCTAAGGAAATAACCTTGAACTTCTACAAATCAAAAGTCCTGCACAAGATCTGATCTTTGTCAACGAAACATTAGCGCTGTAAAGCGTTGATTTATATCAATAAGACTCTTAGCGGACGCTTACGAGAACTTTTCATTACAGTGTTTAGGTCACAGTTCAAAGGGAGTTTCTCAAAGGTGGCCGTAACTAGAGCTGGTCGCTTACGAGAGTGGTCGCAACAGTCGCAAGGAGAGAGAGCTTCGACTGTATTAGCTGGTAGTATAGTATAGGTAAGACTTACCCTGAGACTGGCTTTCCCTGGCATGTACAATTCTACAAAGAGATAATTTAAAATAAATAATGCAAAAAAAGTCCAGATGAGTGACTAGAGGGTTTCAGTGAACTTTCAAAATGAGGCGAAGTACAGAACCATTCACATGAAAATGAGTTTCATTTATTATTAATGATATTAGATCTGTCCCTAATAAGCATTACGGGGCTTAAAGTTTCTTTTGTTCATAACAGAATAATTTGAGCCATATAATTTTTAAAAGATTTTATGCCAGTTTGAAAATTTCAAAATTTACAAGGATTTCTTTGGAAAATCAAGGGTGGCACCCCTACAAATTATCTCTTTAATTTTCGTTGGCCGTTGCAGTCTCTACTTCTGAGATATAAGCCTAAAAATAGAAGGATACCTAATTTTTGCATGCTTTTAGTTCCTACTGAAATAATTTTTCCAAAAAGAATAGTTTTCGTGTTTACAGAAAGTTCTTAACGTGACCAACCGTGGACAAAAAGCCTAAGTAATAACCAAAGGTTATGGAGTGCTGACGACAACTGTCAAAAGTCAAAACGCTTTAGCTCCAATACTGTGCTTTGCAAAGGTTTCAAGTGACAGATGGTCAAAACCCGCATGATCAGGTTACGAGAGGTAGAAGGTCGAAACGTGCAATCAAAATGCTTTCTGTCCATTCCATTCATTCTTAGTGGAAGTCCAAACCAATTCTGGCTACATACATGCGGTGCATGCATAATAACAATCTGGAGATTGGGATTGCGGGCTCTTCTTGTCACCCACAATTATTATTCATCTATTTACTTTAATAGGTTGCCAATTTTGGCAGGGTCACCGCAACAGTGCTTGAAGTCAATTACTGTGGCCCCTCAACAGTCCCTCCCTCCATGAGAGATGGAACACCACATGACACCAGGGACTGTGGGCCCTACTCTTTACAAATAGTGTGTGGGTTCTTTAAAACATCCTATAGTATTTATGTGTGAGCACTAGGGTTGTGAGATGAGCTTTATGGTTACCTTGCAGCAGCTGACAATAAAGACTTGAGCATCACAGATATCTCCAAAATACTGACTCCATCACTTCCTAAAAAGCAGACAATTATATTACTAATTATTCCTGACCAACAACTGACAACAGTAAGAAAGAAATCAGATATTATAGAAGAATGACCTGCTTCAAAGTCAAACTTCAATGCAGCAATGATAGAAATAAACTTTACTACTAGGTGTTTGTTTCTTTGTAACCACTATAGTTCACTATCATGGCATTTTTGCTAAAAACCAGAAATGGCCTGCCTCACCATAGGCCTGAGTAGCTGTGATGGAGACAAGCCAGACATGTCATATTTCACAATAAAATATTAGTCAAGTATTTCAAAATTTCCCCTAAAAACAACCACTGCCAAGCATACCATTTGAAAATAGACTGATCTGGCTGGATAGTCATGATCAACAGAGGGATTTTTTATTGAAACAGAATGAAAGTCGGTCTGGCCAAGCCTTTGTGGCAGGTGCAAACAAAAGTGATAGGAAGGAAGAAAAGGAGCAGCTGTTTCCCTTCCTGATTCCATCCCCTGCAACATAGGCTAGGTCTGGCCAGCCCCTTCTAATCAATAGAAAGCACCCTAAAACTTAACCTTATTAATAGCTTTAATGAATATTATTTTCTAGAACTCAAAATTTAATATCCATTAGATTTCAACTTTACAATTATTTAATACGAAGCAGGTCACTATGTCTTACCATCAAGGTTGAACTATATAGGGCAGCAATAGTCAAGAGATGAACATAGGAAGAAAAAGAAAGAAAAAAAGTTATACATTTTGCATTAATCAACTAAAAATAACATTAATTCAAAAAAATGCCAAATATTTAATATGCCTTTAGTAGACACCAAATTTTTCATGAGCCAAGTTCTCCAAAACAAACGTATCCAAATTTGGACTATAATTAGCATGCATTTGTGACCAAAATTAACAATAAATTGAAATGTGAAATTAATGTTGTTTGTTTATTCACTCAGATGCTAAACTTAATTAAATTCACTCTTGAGGGGTCTTTAAGTTTGACTCATAAAAATTTTGGTGTCTATCCTTTACATTTAAGTGTTGTGAACAATGATGACAGAAATTTACACGCTTAAGCCAGGATATAAGTTGCCATCAAGAAATCAAGCAACGAGATTAACTGAGATGCGTAATGAATTGATCATGGGTGAGGACAAGATGCATGCATGCATGACTGGGTATTTGACCAAGCTTTTAATTTTACTTGTGCTTTTATGGACCCAAACAAAGTAAAAAGAATTATGCTAATACCCAGTGATCTTGAGCGAACATGTATTTATTTAGCAACTGATCAATAAAGGTTGGTTGGATCATAGCCAAAAAGAGAACCCTTTCAGTGTGGGATTGACGTAGGAACCCAGCTTGCCCACTCAGGAAACCAATCAGAAAACAAAATCTCGCCGGATCATGGATTCCACCATTTAATTTTAATAGTTATTCAAATAAATTACGAACTACATTGTTAGTTTGTGAATGGTGGCAACTTACAATTTGTACACAACATGCAAAGAAAGTAGTGTCCAAATGAGCCCAAGGCTAGTGGATTTGCTATCGGGCTAGTGAATTCTGTTTTCAACTTGCCCGACAGGTAAGTGATATTTTTTGAGGAATTTGAATAACAGAAGAACTGTGAAATCAATTCTGCTCGTCAAAAAGCTTTTGGGGCTAGTTGAAATGAAGTCTGGGCTAGCTTCAGCTTGCCCGAATGGCAAGCTGTAAAAACGATTTTCTTTGCACCCTGGTACATGCAGGGCTTCTGATATTTCGCGCGGTTGCGGACCCGCGAAATTCAGGTATTTCCGCGAAATCCCGCGAAATTCCCAAAAAACGCGAAATACCGCGAAATCCGCCAGAAATATTTCCAAATACATGTCGGCAAAACATATTTCATACTTATCTTGGCTATTAGACCTGTTTTATTCACCCCAAACGTCCAAATTTATCTTGAAACTTCGTCACTGCAACACGTAAACAACGTTCCAAAACTACCAGGCGTTTTTAGATGAACGTTGCGAAAAACTGGGCACTAACCATAATGTTAATAGCTTTAGCATTCGCTCATTTCTCGAGCGAACTGTTGTTGAAAGAGCAAATGATTACCCCTGTTAAAAAAACGTTAAACAACGCTGGTCATATCGACGCAAAATTGATCGATTTTAGCGAAATTTCCCCCAAAAAATTCAGCGAAATCGACTGTTTTTTACTGATTGTTTCTTGGCGAAGTTTCCCCCCGAAATGTCCCGTGA